GGCAGAGACAACGAACATTGAACGAATTCCGAGGAATGAGCATCAAACCGTACGACATCTGGGTGTACCGCGTCAACAAGTGGGTCGAGATCAAGAGTGACAAACTGTTACCCGGCGACCTCGTATCCGTGGGACGGACTCAAGAAGATTCCGGAGTTGCCTGTGACATGCTTCTTATTGAGGGAACAGCCATTGTGAATGAGGCTATGCTCTCTGGAGAAAGTACCCCGCTCCTCAAAGAGTCAATCCTTCTTCGTCCCGGAGACGCAACGATCGAACCGGAGGGTTTGGACAAGAACGCTTTCCTCTGGGGAGGCACGAAAGTCCTTCAGATAACCCATCCTGCCGCCAGCGAGGATGCTCTGGAAACTGTTCCACGGTTGCGGTCCGGTGTCCCTGTGCCGCCTGATAACGGTGCCATGGCTGTGGTGCTCAAGACCGGATTTGAGACGAGCCAAGGTAGTCTCGTGCGAACCATGATCTACTCAACGGAGCGTGTCTCTGCCAACAACGCTGAAGCATTGATCTTCATTCTCTTCTTGCTGATCTTTGCACTTGCCGCCTCGTGGTACGTGTGGCAAGAAGGTGTCAAAAACAACAGAAAACGGTCCAAGCTCCTCCTCGACTGCATTCTAATTGTTACAAGTGTCGTACCGCCAGAGTTGCCTATGGAGTTGTCCCTGGCGGTCAATACTAGTCTGGCAGCGCTCAGCAAGTTTGCCATCTTCTGTACAGAACCCTTCCGGATCCCGTTCGCCGGACGCGTGGATGTCGCCTGTTTCGACAAGACTGGCACGTTGACCGGCGAAGATCTTGTTGTTGACGGTATTGCCGGTCTGAGCTTGGGGAAGAAGAGTGCCCAAACAGAACCAGACGGTGCGCAGTCAGCAATTACCAAAGTCCCGGACTGTGGCATTCATACCACATTAGTTTTGGCGACCGCTCACGCCTTGGTCAAACTTGAAGAAGGAGACATCGTTGGCGATCCCATGGAGAAGGCCACACTAAACGCTCTGAACTGGACTCTTGGCCACAATGACACTTTGACCAGCACGCCTCCACCTAAATCGAAGAAAGCAAAGCCATTCTCGACAGCCGGTGCTTCGCATATAGTCCAAATCAAACGTCGTTTTCAATTCTCGTCCGCTCTCAAGCGGATGAGTTCGGTGGCTACGGTGTTGATGACCGACCCCAATTCTGGACGGAGGGCGAAAGGGACCTTTGTCGGTGTCAAGGGCGCTCCGGAAACCATCCAGAAGATGTTGGTTGAGACCCCGTCCAAATATGAGGAGACTTTCAAATACTTCACGCGGAATGGTGCTCGGGTTCTGTCTCTCGGCTACAAATACCTTTCGACTGAGGCTGAGATCGGCCAGAAACGCATCAACGATCTCAAACGCGAAGAGGTCGAGTGTGATCTGCACTTTGCGGGTTTCTTGGTGCTCCAGACTCCTCTAAAGGAAGATGCTGTCAGGGCAATTCAGATGCTGAATGAAAGCAGCCACCGTGTGGTGATGATCACTGGAGATAACCCACTTACTGCCGTTCATGTTGCCAGAGAAGTCGAGATCGTCGACCGAGACTGTTTGATTCTGGATGCTCCAGAGCACGATGATTCAGGTACCAAACTTGTTTGGCGCAGTGTTGATGAGGAAACCATCATCCCTGTCGATCCTACAGCAGATCTGGATCCGAAGATTCTGGAAACCAAGGACCTGTGCGTTACTGGCTATGCTCTTGGCAAATTCAGTGGGCAGAAAGCATTTATGTCGTTGCTGAGGCATACCTGGGTTTATGCTCGAGTGTCGCCGAAGCAGAAGGAAGAAATCCTAATCGGACTCAAAGATCAAGGCTACACCACTTTAATGTGTGGCGATGGAACAAATGACGTGGGTGCGCTGAAGCAAGCTCACATTGGGGTTGCTCTGCTCAATGGCTCTCAAGAAGCCCTCAACAAAATCGGCGAACACTTCCGAACTACCAAAATGAAGGAAATTTATGAAAAGCAGGTGCAGCTGATGCAAAGATTCAATCAACCGCCGCCGCCCGTGCCACCAGGGATTGCGCATCTTTATCCACCTGGTCCGCGCAACCCCCACCATGAGAAGGCGATCAAGAGGATTGCCGAGCAGAAAGGTATCAATCTGGAGAATGGCGACGCGGAAAACGGCACCGTCGAAACCATCACGTCACCTGGCGCGCAAGCGATCCAACAGTCGCACGCCAATTTGACACCTCAACAACGACGCCAGCAAGAGGCGCAACAGAAAGCAGCAAGCTGGGCGGACAAGTTTACCTCCAGCATGATGGAAAATGAACTCGACGACGGCGAGCCACCCACGATCAAATTGGGAGACGCCTCCGTCGCCGCTCCGTTTACGAGCAAGCTGGCAAACGTTATAGCGATCCCCAACATTATCCGGCAGGGACGGTGCACGCTTGTGGCGACCATTCAGATGTACAAGATTCTAGCTCTTAACTGTTTGATCAGCGCATACAGTTTGTCGGTCATCTACCTGGCAGGCATCAAGTTTGGCGATGGCCAGGTGACAATCAGCGGGATGTTGATGTCGGTCTGCTTTCTTTCTATCTCTCGGGCGAAACCTGTGGAAGCTCTGTCGCGAGAACGACCTCAGCCGAACATCTTGAATGCCTATATCCTCGGATCAGTGCTGGGACAATTTGCAATCCACTGCGCAACGCTCATCTATCTTTCGAACGTGGTCTACTCGATCGTCCCGCCGGCTGAGGAGATCGACCTAGAGGGCGAGTTCGAGCCTTCGTTACTCAACAGTGCCGTCTATCTCATGCAACTCATCCAACAGGTGTCCACCTTTGCGATCAACTACCAAGGGCGCCCATTCCGGGAAAGCATCCGGGAGAACCGAGGTATGTACTGGGGACTCCTGGCGTGTTCGTTTGTGGCGTTTGCGGGAAGCACCGAGTTCTTGCCGGAGCTCAATGAGAAGTTACGCCTGGTGCCGTTCACAAGCGAGTTCAAGTGGTCACTGACAACACTGATGATCGCCGACTTTGTGGGATGTTGGATTGTGGAACAAATCTTCAAGTACTTGTTTAGCGATTTCCGACCCAAGGATATTGCCATCAAGAGACCCGATCAGGTTGAGCGGGACGAAAAGCGCAAGAAGGAACTGGCGGACAAGGCTGAGCAGGAGAGGATCGAGGAGATTGAGAGGAAGCGCGGTGTGGCCAATAACACGGGCCCGCCAGCGACAGCCAAGGTGCGCAAATAGGAATGTGGCATGCCTGTCTTGTCTCAGGGGCGGTATAGAATAGAGAGAATGTTTCGGCGCATCGACCGGGGATCATTTATGCTTGTACAGGGCGGTCGAATCGGAGAAACCAAGTGCTGGTACAAGGTATGTCGTGTGCTTCATTGACACTCGGTAGAAATAGACACGACTGGTATTTAGGTAGTTAGTAGAGCTCTTGCGCGATTCATCCCGCTTCCCTGCTCCGGTTGCTATTCCAGCGTCTCTTCTCTTGCTTCTCTTGCTTCCTGTTGTCATCATTTGTCCCCTCTGGCTATCACAGCCTTGGCTGCGACAGGCACTAACCCCGAAAGCGCTCCCAGCCTGGTTGCGATGCGAAAAGCCGTCATCATGATTACGCCAAACGCGGTGCGCAGGCGTCGCCCAGATGGACGGCGGTGGTTCTCCAGCTCAATGGTTGGCGCTATCTCTATGAGCCGTCTGCGTCAAGCTTGATTCAATACATCCGGTCTGGATACGAGTGCGGTTGTCGAGGGAGGGGAAGGAACAAGTCTGATCTGAATTTAGATCCTGTCTCTCTTTCTGCCTGGTTCTCCTCGACTTCTTCTATCAAGCTATGATATGCCGGTCCTCCCTGTTGCCATTGCTCTCTCCCCCCCGGCTTTTCTCACAGATTTCTTCTTCCAGCTGTCTCTCTCTCTCTCACACACACACCAACTCACCCACTGTCTGTCTCTCCCTCTTCCTATACTCTAAGCTTGTTCCAAGCTGCGACTCGCCAACCATGCCGACAGCTCCAGTCGCGCGAGCTACTGCAGCACTGGCCGTGCCACTGTCCAGCATATTCTGCCCGAAGACAGATGGATGCGCATCATCACCGTCCCTAACGCTCAAGATTCGTGCTTCGTCGACACCAAGATCACGCACGTCGAGTAGTCAGAGAGACCGGCAGTTCAGGACAAATGAGTTGAGTTGCGCCATCGATTCGGGCTGGATCCGTCCGCCTGGGACAATGCGCAGTGGAGGGAGCTGTGCCATTTGCTGGAGAGGAACTTCCTGTGCTTGGTCCGCGTGGGGAAGGTGAGCAAGCTTGGTTGGACTGGATACGCGGACACGCGGACCGCGTTGGATGAGACATTGACCGAGTTGGAGGAGTTACACATTCCGCCGAGGGCAACGGAGCTGGCGGTCCGCAGTGCGCCAGACAACCGGGCGCCCACAATGCCAAGGGGTACAACGTGATCGAGGATAGAATGTCTTCGGACGAGCGGGGCCACAAACAGCCACTGTCGGAAGCCATGGTAGTGATCTTGCGGAGGCTAACGTTTCGGGTTTCTTGATTTTTGGAGGTGGTACGATTTGAACATTCGGGGCGTGATGGCCAAAGAAGAGGAGGGGCAGAATGTATGTAATCATGTCACGACGACATGACAATCATTACAATACCCTTTTCCTCTTGGACTTGCTTTGCTCATTTTACTCCGAGTTCTTGTTTTGCTGAGGGCGATGACTCTGTTTCGGAGCACAATGGTGGACATCGACCACCAGAATCAATCCAGTCCTAACAATCAACGTCTCCTAATTGCAGCCTGAGGAAGACGCCTCGTCAAACCATGATTGCACAGTTTGTACATGGGCCACAACATCGGGGCCATTCTATTGTTACATCAGGGTTCCGTCACCTCCCACAGGACATGAACTCCTCTCCATGGTCGGGTCAGACGCGACACATGCTACAGAGAGATCGAAATCCACACTGACGGGCTCCTATTGAGGTAGCGGCAAGGGTGCGAATGCCACCAGCGGAGAGTGCCTCTCCCCGAGCTCAGACCCAACTTCACCTGAAGACTCCGGTAGCGGTAGCGCAGGTATATGATCAGTGTTAATGTTGACGGAGCCAACAGGGATCTGTGGTGGAAAGCCAAAAATGGAATTGGCGGCGGTGGCGGCTGGAAGGATGCAAGAAATCGGCCTCTCAATGTCATCCAGGGACAGCATGATGTCGCCGTACAGATCCGGGAACAAGTTGATGAAGCTCAAGTTCATCTTCCACATGTGGATATTATGTACTTGGTTGAGAAACAGGCCGGTCAGAGCAAAGAGACCGGCATTCGCGTCGAAATCGACAACGTCGCTTGGACTGGACGGCCAGTGGAAACGAAAATGGTGGACCATGCCCGTCCAGAACTTGTTGTCTTGGGTCAGACCCTGGGAATACACCGCCCTCTCACGCACGCCTGGCCACGGGAGCACGTCGACTGCAAGGGCATGCCGAATGGTATGCTGTGAAGGGCGCGGCTTATACCACGCCGGCAGATCATTGAAAGAGGCGACTCCGACAAAGCACAGCAGCATGGTGTGGATCATACGCAGCGCGCACAGCCGTGTAAGGAAGCCCCTCATGCAGAAGACACGTCGGTCAAGGTAGCGGACGAGATTCCACAGCGGGCAGAAGACGCTGGTCCTGCCATACCGCATCGAGACGTCGGACCATCCGTTGGCGAGGGCGCGAACCAACACATCCTGGTTCAGGGCATCGTTTCTCGACACACTTGGAATTTGGATAAGCGGCGCGCTTGGGAAACGATGTGGTTAAAAATCTCTTGACAACTCGTTGCCAGACTTTGAGGCGGTTCTGATGACCCGGTCGCACCGTAACTGTCATGGGTATTCTGCGACCGGAGACCGCCGAAGATGTCGCCCGCAATATTTAGCGAAGGCCATGGGTCCAGAGTCCAGCAGACAACTGGGAGAAATGGAATCGAACGCCATGAGGTTAGCGTCGGTGCTGTTCTGATCCGTGGACGAGTCGTGATTCTGACAAGAACATGGGCATCCCGGGGCTGCTTCTCGCCGTCTCAGGGGCTCGATCTCGGCCTTGAGGAGCTCGATGTGCGACTCGAGGCTGGCGGTGCGGGCCTGGGCTTGAGATCTCTTGGTGCGGTGCGAGAGTCGATTCGCGGCCCTCTTTCGCTCACGCTGTGCGGGGGTGAGAATGCGCCCGCTGGCCCACGGACGAGTCGGAGGCCAGTCGGTCATTGTTGTTTTGGGGATGGTGGGAGAGACGAAGGGGTGTTGAATGCGGTGTCAAGGTGGTTGTTATGGGAACCGGGAGGAAGACAGAGGGTGGCCAAGGCTCACCGAAAGGGTGGTATGCTCTGTTCAGTGATGATGATGTGTAGGCGCCATAACACAGGGTCAATCGACGCCAAGCGCGCCCCAACACTCACGTACTCGAACCCAGTACAGGTTCCACCGCTCACCTCTTACTCAGGGGGAGGGCCGGTCACGTGCAAGTATAGCCGCAAGTAGAAATACCCAGTAGAGTGCCAAGCCTTCCAATTAAGATACGTCTGATACGTCCTCTCGAGCCCCAGTGCCCGGTGGAGGCAAGCGTAACGGAAGGCCCATTCCCTCTGTCACCACCATCATCGCACCGCAGATTTGGGCGCTCCTCTACCAGTGAATACCAAATTCAGCTCCCTTTGTCCTCTTTCGCTTCTGGTAAGCTCGAATTTGAGTTCGGCGAGGGCTCACTTCCCATTAACCTAACTAGAATTGTCTCCACGCTCGACGGAACCATCCTCAAACAGAATATACGGTGAAGCGTAGAGCAGTTGGTGCACATTTTATACGGCGGAGTAAGAAGCACAGGTACGGTGCGAGTTATGTACTTGTGCTACTCGTGACACTGCGGTGCCGGTGTATCATTGACCCGAGTCTGATTCCTGCAAAACACCAATACGCGCAGTCTGTGCCGCCTCTCCTGGATCTCGTACAAACCACGTCTCCCCACCTCTATCCATTCTCATTGTAAGGAGCACGACAACCAACAGATCTCACTTTTCCCGTTCCTGATCTAGACGAGGACTCGCGGCGCTTTCTTTATTTGATTTTCCCCACATCACCGGTCGACGATCACCGTTCCACGCGAATCAACCCGAGGTTTCCAAAGAGCAGCGGCGGTTTCTGAATCCATCCACTATGGGCGAGAAAGAAGACAAGGAGAAAGCCGAGAAACTGGCTGCCGCAAAAAAGAGGGTAAGAGTCCTCCACTTGTTGTTATCGGGATATGGATACCCAAGCTGGCAAAGCAGGCCAAGTGGTCCGCTACACTGTTCCTTGGGGCCCGGTGTCGATGCAGTTGAGCCCATTACTGACTTCCCACGGCGGACATAGGTAGCCCAGTTGCAGAAGAAGAAGAAAGCCGCCGCTGCCAAAGACAATGTGAAAAAGGAGGACGAGCGGGCTGCTGATGGAACGGAAGGAGAAACTGCTGGCCATAGCCAAGAGAAGAGCATAGCTCAGGTCGACGATGTCCCGGAGGCCGATGCAATCGAGGCTGCGGCAGAAGAACAACACGGCGATAAGGGTGCAGCCACCAGCATTGCAGATGCAGACGCAGATGAAGAAGCCTCCAATGCCGCAATTCAAGCAGCCAGTGCTAATGCTCCCGCACCGGAAACAGTCCTTTCTCCTGCAACGATCTCGCCCCCCTCTGCCGACCAAGACCAGTCCTCATCCACAAGAGAGTCTATTGCTCGCCATACTGCCCGCCAACCAAGCATCAGCCTGCAAAGCAAAATGCGCAGCACAAGTTTTCGGGATAGTGGCCCATTAAGCCCCGCCCTGCTCACAGGAAACTCCTTGTTGAAGATTGAAGAGCTGGAGAGAGAGAATAGACGGCTGGCAAAGGAAGCCGAGGCCCACGAGAGGAGGTGGCGCAAGGTAGAAGAAGAGTTAGAGGACCTGCGAGAGGAGAATGCAGAGAAGCTTCCAAATTCGGAGGCCGAGGAGGAGATTCGGCGCTTAAGAGCTGAGATCGAGGCACTCAGGAGACGGACAAGTTTGACGACCACTACGCTCAGCAGGAGAGAGAGTGCTGCGAGTGAGGACGTGGTCATGGTAAGGGCCGAACTCGAGAGGAAAGATTCCACCATTGCGGATATGCAGCTCGAGATTTCGAGACTGAGGGGCCAGTTATCGAGTCAGGCCCAAGGTTGCGAGGCGCACGGAGAGCAAATTGCTGGACTACAAGCTTCGTTGTCGTCGACAGAGAAAAAGTTGAAGTCATTTGAGAGTGATTTGGCAGATGCGAGGAAGGCATTGTCTAAGGCTAGTGAGAAAGCTGTGTTGGATTCGACAGAGCGCACGAGCAAGGAAATGAAGATTCAGACTCTGGAAAGAGAATTGCAAGAAACCGTGGCCCAGCGGGACGAGGCCGTGAAGAAAGCAGAACAGCTGGAAAAGAAGATTGAAGTGATGAACAAGCTCCACCGCGAGGCCGAAGCAAGGCATGCGACCAAGTTGGCCGCAGCTGAGGCCAGCGCCCGCGAAGTCCCTGCTCTGCGCATCAAGATCGAAAAGGCCGAGAACGAAAATGCACAGTTGCGAGAAAGGCATAAGCGTGTGATGAGCGGCGATGGAGGCGGAGAGGGCTTGGATGAACTGGAAGACGAAGAGAGGCAGAAGCTCGAAAGACGAATCCGGGAACTGGAAGGGCAAGTCTTTGATCTCCAGCGCGGGGTGTGGAGAGACAAGAGGGTACAGATGCAGCCTCGCGGAGACGATGTCGGATCGCGAACTTCTCTGGATCCAGGTGCCGAGGATTTCGACGAGGTGGACCTTTCAGGCCCCGGAGCCGGCAGCAGTCGACGAAGAAGTTTCGCGAACCAGCAGCAGCAGACTCGTCACTCCAACTTCGCGCAGGTGCTGAATTCGGGTCTTGCAGCATTCCGCGCGAGCACCACCTCTCCAGTCAGCCAGCAGAATCGGCCCCGGAACGATTCCCTGCTCCAGGAATTCGACGGCGATGACGATGCTTTTGACGAGCACGCCTTTGCGCGGGCGCAGAAGGAGGAAGAGGCCAGGAAGATGGTGGAGCATGTGAGGGAGGTCAAAAGAGGGCTGAAGCAGTGGGTGGGTTGGCGACTGGATCTGGTGGAGGCCAGACGGGCCGGTGTTGGTGTTGGATACGGTGAGATTTTTGACCTGTAACTCAAGAGCGAGGAGCCCTCGGACCGTGATAGATATACAAAACAAAAGCGGATCAAGACAGGGAGAATGGGTGGGGGCATTGTCAAACCCCGCCTCCCAGTACGTGGCGATACTCTCGCCCGTCGATGAGTTCAAGGGCATGGCAGACTCGGAGATGTCGAGTCTATCCGATTGGACCATGGGATCCTTTGTGATATTGTAGCAGCAAAGCAAAACTATTCACTATGATTGCAATAAGCATCTCAGTTACCTCCTTTGTGACAACTCGGATACTATTGTTTCTCGACTAGAGCAGCAGAGGAGCAGCAGCAGTTGCTAGGGAAGGGATATATAGCCCTCCACCATAAACTGAAAATGAAAGCATCCAAAAAAACAAAATCAAAATCACCTCCGCTTCTTCCCCCAACGCGGGAAGAGAGGTCTGGCTATTCAGGCTGCATTGCTTTTTCGCTAGGCACAGCCCGCTGTAATAGCATGGACGGCCAGTTGGCACGGGGTTCCGACGCCACAACCGGACCACAGTAACATAAATCAGCAGTATTTGACCTCGTTGACACCGATATAGACCGCCGGTGAGGGCGGCAAATGCGCCAAAGCAAGCGGCGGGAACTGTTTCTATACCTCCGCGTCGTCCTCGGCTTCTGCCCTGTCGGGGTCGAGTAGCCGAAGTTCAACTTCTGCCGTGTCTTTAGATTCGTCCGTCTTCCTCATCCTCCTCTTCTTCTCCTTCCACTCCAGGACCCAGGCCTTTAATCGCGGCCGCACTCTCCTGAACGTGAAGACGCACAGGCCGATCGTCGCGGCCAAAGCAACCAAGAGGCCGACGATGACCACCCACGGGTTGATGCCCTTCAAGCAGCACCCGTACATGGCCATGTACCAGTGGACCAGCGTCTTCATGAGATTGGCCTTCTCTTTCCCATCGGGCATCAGCCCTTGCCTCACGAGGTGCTTGAACTTGGGCCCGTTGGGCCCGTTGTTGTATTTCCTGAGCCCGAAGTAGGGGACCGTCTCTTGTCGAGGATCCGAGTCGGGATACTGTTTGTCGCCCCAGCTTCCGTTGAAGGCCAGCCAGTCGGTTGGGTCTGTGCCCCCTGGGTCTGCCGCGGTGAAGGTCTCGCTGTGCTGGTCGTAATGGTAGAAGTAGGCTCGTTTGACCGGGTCCCACAGCCGGCCCTTGTCTGCGATGTCGATGAGTGCTTCGTCGTGGACGTGGCTTCCTTCCGAGGGGTAGTTTGCGTGGGATCCGCGAGCGCTGAAGACAACCGGCCTTTCTCCTTGCTTCGACAGACAGGCCTCGTCCTCCCAAGCGCAGGCTTCGCCACCGGTGTGGTGGCTGAAGTATATCCCTGTCGGGTTCCCATTCTCGAACCGGATCATGTTGTGTTCCCAGTCACCCAAATGGTTGCCGTAATGATCGCCGGGCTTGCTGTCCGGGAACAGCTTGTTCAATGGTGGCACCACCTGCAAGATGTCGGCTCCTTCGTTCCAAGAGTAGAAATAGAAGTAGAAGGCGTCCAATACCAGCTGCTCCTGTCGGTTGACATCCTCACCCTTCTTATCCACAACGACGACGGCGCATGCAGTGGAATTTCGAAGAGATCCCGTCGCATCAGGTGTCTCGCCGAGGACCCAGTCCGGAAAGACGGACACGTCTTCGACCGCCGTCAAATAGACATCGGTCCCGTCCTTGCCGTATCGGTTCAACAGGGACAGATTCTCCAGATTTCTCAGTGGCATCGCGTTCGTTATGGGCTCAAAGCCGACCCTCGGCGCCGTGTGTAAGACATGGCTCAAAATGTCACTTGGCATATACCGGTCATCGGAATGTAGCCAGACGATTGGGGCTGACGGATGGTTAGCCCGTGTATGCCGCAGCTTTCAATTTGGCAAGCCCCCAGAAATTGTAGCAACGAGAGTCAACTCCACCCTGTCACTGGCCTTCTACTCACCATAGTCGATTACATATTGCGGGATCGTGTATGAAGAGACGAGCTGGAGAAGCTTGCAAAACGCCAAAAAGGTGAGATGCTCATGTCGCCGCGGGTTCAACGCCCCGCTCATAACGAAGCCGCCTCCCCCTCGTACGCTCGCTCTCCACGGGACTTGTTGCTTTGGAATCAAGAAAGTGGTCGAAGCACGCGCATATTAGTGAAGGCGCCTATCTCCCGGTCTGAGAAGAGGGAGAGGATGATGAAGCTGATGCATGCGGCAATTGTCAGCATCGAAGTTGTGATATCAATGCGAAACACGCTAGTAGCCGAGAAGTACCGGAGTGCCTCGATGTAATTGGTCAATTACTCTCAGCCTTGCTCAGCCTTGCGCGGTTTTTGGGCTTCCGCAGCGTCGAAGATTTTCATGCTTCGCCCATAGTGCCGAGGTGGCGATGACTGACGAAAGAGAGAGGAGAGAGAGTACATCCAGACATGTATGTATTTGCATTCCATATTGTTGTATCACTACCAGTCAATCCTCTTCTGTGCCACAACACCGATTTCTCTCCCAGCTCTCACATTTCCTGTTCTAGGCATCGGGCCCACAGTCTTTTGCGGCCGCAGACCTTTGTCGTACCCAAGCTTCTTGTCAAGACTTGCGAACGGATTTGGTGCTTCGTCCTTCTTGACGGTCCACTTGCTGGTCCCAAGCACATTGTCCATCTCTTGCACAGGCGGCAGCTTGAGGTATACCCAACCATCTTCCCGCTCTTCGGCCGGGAACGTGGCAATCGACATGGTATTGTCGTTCGAACAAGAGCCGGCACCGGTATCCTTCTTGTCAAATTCGACTTCACCATTCAACTGAAAGTTCCTCTTGTGATATGGACAACTGACGTAGAATTTGCTCTCCTTACAATCGGGCGACGTCACTTCACCCACAAGGCCGTCGGAAAGTCCAAATGTTCGTCGGTGAGGGCACATTTGCTGACTCGCATAGTACTTGCCCTTAAGTTTGAATATCGCCAGTTGAGTGTCACCTCGTATGACGGTTTGTGAGGAGCCTGTGTCCAGGTCTTGGAACTTGTTCGCCTCAACAATAGGTTGCCATGTCAAACTGCTCCATCTCGTCCCTTTAAAGTCTTCGTGGACGGGATCCCTGGCCCAGTATGCTGGTCTCGACTGTCCTCTCTCCTCGACCTTCTCCACGGCGGGCTCTCTGTGATCTTCGGTGTTCGCGAATTGCTGGAATGCTCTGCGCTTCTCGGGATCGTTCAGGACTTCCGTCCACTCGCAGAAGAACGTACCAACAAGCTCCTGCATTTGCTTCTCAAGCTCTGCACAGATACCGAGCTTGTCCTCCAGAATAACTTCCCGCAGATATCGGATACCGCCGGGCAGGTTCTCTACCCATCTGGCCGTTCTCTGGAGTCTATCAGCAGTGCGGATGTAGAACATCAGGTATCGGTCAAGGATGGGGATCACATCGTCAGGAGGGACATCTTTGGCCAGCATTTCCGAGTGTCTCGGCGTGGCTCCGCCATTTCCTCCGACGAAGATATTGAAACCTTTTTCCGTCGCAATGCAGCCGAAGTCTTTGTTTTGGGCTTCCGCACACTCCCGAACGCATCCAGACACACCTCCTTTTATCTTGTGCGGGGCTCGAATTGACTTGTATCTTTCTTCGAGCCTGATGGCGAGACCAACAGAGTCTCCGATGCCGAACCGACACCACGTGGTGCCCACGCACGACTTGACAGTGCGGAGGGATTTGGCATAGGCGTGACCTGATTCGAGTCCACCTGCGACCAGCTCCGACCAGATGTCGAGCAAGTCCTGCTTCTTCGCACCAAACATGTCAATGCGTTGGCCACCAGTGATCTTGGTGTAGAGACTATATTTCTTGGCAACTTGGGCGATGACAATAAGTTTGTCGGGACTGATCTCACCACCAGCGACTCGAGGAACGACAGAGAATGTCCCGTTGCGCTGAATATTTCCAAGGTACTTATCGTTCGTATCCTGGAGTCCGTGGAGTGGTCGTTCCATCACATGCTTGTTGAACATGCTGGAGAGGATCGACGCAATAGCGGGCTTGCAGACCTCACACCCAAGACTGTTTGGCTCGTTGCCACTGTCCCTCATGACCGCGCCAAAGTCTTTCAGTTTCTTGACGTAGATGATGTTGTAGAGATCAGCTCGGGAGAACTTGAAGTGAGGACACAAATGGTTCAAGACCTCCTGACCCATTTCTTTCATGGCCTTGTTGAATATGGACTGGACTAGAGGCATGCAACCACCGCAACCTGTGCCGGCCTTGGTGCAAGATTTGACGTCGCCAATCGATTTGCACGAGCCATCTTTGACCACGCTGGCAACGTCGCCCTTGGTCACGTTATGGCAAGAGCAGATTTGTGTATCGTCCGTCAGGTCGTCGGCGTTCTCGTCGCCATCCTTCGATGCACCAATGATTAACTGAGATGGAGGAACTTCTAGTTGCTTCTTGTTCTTAACCATGGGCACCAGCTTGACATAATCTTTTGTGTCGCCGATCATCATGCCACCTAGCAGGTACTTGCCATCCATGGTGAACAAATATTTCTTGTATACAGCTGCAAATGGATCTCTGTAGGTGAGTGCTTTGACGGCCGGAGGCGGCGGGCCATCAGTGAGATTCTTGACCTTGTCTTGACTTCTAATGCCTTTCTTGTCCTCCCGTTTGACGTGCCTCCATGGGAGGTCCTTCGGTCCATCTCGATCCGCAAAGAAATCCCCAAAACTGGCGACTTCGACGCCCAGCAATTTCAATTTCGTGCTCAGATCCGGTCGTTTGAATGTCCGAGGGCTGTGGACCTTAGCTTGTGTGAGATTGAATGACAGAACGTCAGCTTGTTCGACACCTGGTGCAATAAGACCAAAAGTTTGATTTTCCCAGCTGGCACATTCACCAATGGCGTAAATGTGAGGGTCGCTTGTTCTGAGGTCGTTGTCGATTACGACACCTCCTCCTCGATCGGCGCATTTTAGCCCCGCAGCCCTGGCCAACTCATCTCTCGCTTTGATCCCAATCGCGAACATGATGCAAGAACACTCCATTTCCTCACCGTCTTCGAAGACAAGACCTCTCACGGCGTTGTCCGCGTCGGTCAAGATTCTGCCAACCCTTTTGCCGAGCATAACGTCGAGTCCGAGGCTGCGGACGAGCTCGACGACCATGGCACCAGCATCCCCGTCCAGCTGCCGCGACAGAACCCATCTGTTTCTTTCAACGAGCTTGACCTGCTGGAATTCCTCCAGATCCATCATGGCCTTGGCCGCTTCAAGCCCTAGGAGTCCGCCGCCCACGACACATCCTGTTGTACCCTTGACGGTTGCAGAGAATGCGATAAGTTTCTGGAGATCTTCGATAGTTCGGTAAACAAATACACCTTTGGCGTCATGGCCTGGAGTATGCCGAGGGAGAACAGCATCGGACCCGGTGGCCAGCACCAAAATGTCATAAGGTATTGTGTCGCCTTGAGCTGTTACGATCACTTTGTCTCGCGGCTTGATTTCGGTGGCCAACGTATTCAGATGGTAGCTGAAAGAGCCCGATGGGTGGCCCTTGTACCATGACTCCGGGTTGAGGTAGAGCGACTCGACTTGCCTGTGCTGAAAGAAGCTTGTCAATCCGACACGATTGTACGCGAGATGGGGCTCCTCGCCAATGACTACGACATCGTATTCTCTCCTCTTGGCGTCGAGTTTCAATAGCTTCTCCCTGTGAAGCTCCTATTAGCTGAGTGTCTTCGTGTGGTTTCAAGTTCGGTCACACTGTCGAGTAAGAAATTGAGACAGACTTACACAAAAGCGATACCGACCATCCCCAAGCCAACTACCACCACCTTCTTCCTTTGCGTTTGTGCCGGCTTTTTGTCACCGTTGACTTCCACACCCTCCGGAACACGGCTGATGGCCACGCCCGGCGACGACGTTGACCAAGACATGGTGTTGGCCTTTGTGAGCCTCGCCTGTTGACGCCTTTTAGATTATTCTGCCGTATACTTCAATGCTGATGCATTGGTAGGGTACAACCGATCTGCTCCGAGTAAGGAGATCCCATCAAAAGCCGGAAGGATGTCAGAAAAAGAGGAAAAATTGCCCTCATGACGGCAGGCTGGATTTCTGGGTGCCATGTAAAAATCGCTGACGCCACGCACGCAAGGCCCGATTTCCGCGGGGATGTAGCACGGCGACAGTCGACCAACGAGACGAACAAATTCGCCTATCAGCGAGGCTCGCCGTCAGCCGATTCAGGCTCTGATTGCTCCAGTCCATCCTTGGTGATCTACAGAGCCAATGGCGAATATCGCACTGTCATCGTCTATCGTCCATCAATCTTCACACAGAAAGCCTAGACATAGGGAAAGTGATCGCGGAAGAGACTGAAGATCTCTTTCTCCACGGGCTCTGGAGATTCGACGGGACGTGGAGCACAGAGATAAGAGTCCAGGGCTGAGTGGATAAAAGGTCAGTCTTGACTGGCTACGAGACGCGTGCGATAACAAGTTCGCTAGCGCATCTCGATCGATCTAGCGAGTCCTAGCACCACTTAGCGCATTGGCGTATTGTAACTTGCTGTAACAGGCTTGTGCTAAATGCTAATAATCCCTAAAAGCTTGTCATGACATTGACAGGGGGAAACTGTTGCACGTGCCGAGGACTCCCTGTACTCCCTACATATTCCGTACACTTATACCGAGTACCCAATACCCTTCGATGGTTTGTGTGTTGTTGCCGCGCTGCTCCTTTTGCCTGGATATCAAAGAACTGTCCACAGGTTCCGCTTATCCATCCGGTCTCTACGTATCTCAGCTCTTTGCTGGCTCAAAGAGGCAAATCAATTCATTCACGAAAAGCTCCTCGACAAGGAATGCTAGCGGAACGAGTTGAGGTCGCAATGCAAGAATGTCGTAAGCTGAACGCTCTGGACTTGCGAACATTTCTTATTTGTTTGTGCTTTGCCTCTTCTTCCCTAACCCCATCTTTTCACGACGAACTCCCCGCGGCCTCAACTCTCACAGAACTCGAGGCTGAGCTGAAACCCCCCAAGGCTGCAAGGCGCCCGCCACTGTTCGTACCTACCGAGCT